GCTTGGAAGCATGGAGGAAATGTTTCCTCTGTGTTGACCCTCCTCTTTGTAGACTGGACACTGGTTCAGGTCCATCTGGTGGGGTCTCCATGGCCTCCTTGATCAAGAAGACAGGTGACTCACCACAGTTACAGGACATTTTTGAGAGATGCTCATAGTCCCCTGAAACTTAGTTGACCTAGGAAGGAAAGGAGGCAAAACTGTCCTTTATGTCCCTCTGTCCAAATTAGTATAGGTCTCATAGTATCATTGTTAAACATCCAAGAAGGTTAGTTCCACCAGTCTGGTACTTTTAATTACCATGTACCATGTAGATAGAGTTTGGGCAAAGATGAAATTCTCAGATGAAACTTGCCTAGACATATATTACATTCTTTGATCTGGTTGTATGTATAATCTGTCAGTAGGTTGTTGGCCTAATATGGTTCCCTCTGGTTTTCTAAAACTAGCTAGGCATTGTTTATCTCACATTGTCTAACCCCTCCACCATGGTTTCCCCATTTAAGGTACCCCTGTTTTTCCCATTTCTCCCTTAACGATACCCTTCTCCTGTGGTCCCACCTCTCTTGAGCTCCTTCTTTCCCTTCAGCCCCTAGGTTCCTTGTATAACCTTCCCTCCCCTCTCCCCTTAAAAACAACCCCATTTTTATCCATATCTCTCTTGTTAACGCCTGTTCTTCTCTTTCAGGTTCTTTCTTTTCCTTTACCTCCCTGGTTCCTTTTCATTATCTTGGTTCCTGTAATTATGTCTGGATACATACTCATAAGGATTTGGTGCTAGGGCCCACATATGAGGGAGAATATACGTCATTTTTTTTCCTGAGTCTGTGTTACTTCACTTAGTATAAGTTTCTAGTTACATCAATTTACCTGCAAATTTCATGATCCTATCTTTCTTTATTGCTGAGTAAAACTCCAATGTATAAATGAACCACATTTTCATTATCCATTTGTCAGTTGAGGGACACTTAGGTTGCTTCCATCTCTTAGCTATTGTGAAAAGAGCAGC